TTTGTGTATGGTGTTAGGGAGTGTTCTAATCTCGTACTTTTACGTGTAGCTGTCCAGTTTTCCCAGCACCACTTATTGAAGAGGCCTTTATCATATCTAACAAAATTAACAATGATTTCTTAATATAGCATAGTCCACATTGAAATTTTCCCACTTGTCCAAAAAAGTGTCTTTTAGAGCTGCTCTGTTCAACCCAGGAGCCAATCAAGGTTTGCACTGAACTCAGATATATGTCTCTTACACTTCCTTTACTCTCGTACAGTCCTCTCTCTCTTTTTTATGACTTATTGAAGAAACAAGATTAGTTGTCCTACAGAGTGCTCCATGTTCTAGATTTGTAAGCATTTTCCCTCATGGTTTTGTTTAACTCATTCTTTTAGCCTCTCAATTTCCTATAAATTTGAATTTAGATCTGAAGGTTTGATTAGATTTCGGTTAAATATTTTAGTAAGGGTACTCCATACTTGATGCCAACTGCCTCAAATTGAGTTACATTAGGGAGCATATAAGGTCTAGTTATTTTATTTTATTGTTTTTGCGGTATGCGGGCCCCTCACCGCTGTGGCCTCTCCCGCTGCAAAGCACAGGCTCCAGACGCGCAGGCCCAGCGGCCATGGCTCACGGGCCCAGCCGCTCCGCGGCACGCGGGATCCTCCCAGACCAGGGCACGAACCCGCCTCCCCTGCATCGGCAGGCGGACTCCCAACCACTGCGCCAGCAGGGAAGCCCTATTCCTAGATATTTTATTCTTTTTGTTGCAATGGTAAATGGGAGTGTTTTCTTAATTTCACTTTCAGATTTTTCATCATTAGTGTATAAGAATGTCAGAGATTTCTGTGCATTCATTTTGTATCCTGCTACTTTACCAAATTCATTGATTAGCTCTAGTAGTTTTCTGGTAGCATCTTTAGGGTTCTCTATGTATAGTATCATGTCATCTGCAAACAGTGACAGCTTTACTTCTTCTTTTCCGGTTTGGATTCCTTTTATTTCTTTTTCTTCTCTGATTGCTGTGGCTAAAACTTCCAAAACTATGTTGAATAAGAGTGGTGAGAGTGGGCAACCTTGTCTTGTTCCTGTTTTAGTGGAAATGGTTTCAGTTTTTCACCATTGAGGACGATGTTGGCTCTGGGTTTGTCATATGTGGCCTTTATTATGTTGAGGAAAGTTCCCTCTATGCCTACTTTCTGCAGGGTTTTTATCATAAATGGTTGTTGAATTTTGTCAAAAGCTTTCTCTGCATCTATTGAGGAGCAGAGATGCACTGAGAAAAGGGAGGTAAAGGGCCTGTAATCAGAAAGAAACCTATTTAAAGTATAGTTAAGCTGAGGGGAACTTCAAGGGCATCATCCTCACCTCTACTCATCATTTAATCTGGTGGCTTATATTTTACAAAAGAAGACATTGAGATCTAGAGAAGATGTCACTTCCTGAAGGAAATACAACTAGTTCTGGCAGAACTGGAACTAAAACTCAGCGTGCTCCCTCCCTGGGGAGTGAATGCTCATTCCCTCCTCCAAGGGAATCTTCCCTTGCCCTTTCCTTTCTGCCCCATCCCTTTCCTGGATTTCCATTTTGCTTTGCCTTATGATCTCTTTACCAATCTCTTCCCATTTTTCCCTTTTCCTGTGTCCCTCTTGAGGGTTCATCTGAGGCTTTCACCCAGCCACCCTGATGTCTTCAGTCTACACCTCCCACCAGCTGCCCCTCAGGGTCCAGCTTCAGTTTCTGAGCATCCCATTGTGAGTAGCATTGAATTTCTGTGCAGTATCTCCTAGAACTTGGCATAGGCCTGGTCAGGGCCCTGGTCCTACCTGGTTCTTGCTGGAATGACTTTAGGGTAAACACATGACCTGCAGGCTTCAAGCTTGGTCCCTGAAGTTGCGTTGCCTGGGTTTGAACTCAGACTCCTCCACGCGCTAACTGCACTTGGGAAATTTACTTAACGTCTCTGAGGATCAGCTCTCATCTGCAAAATGAGGTTGCTACGAAAAGTAGTTTAGATAATTCATATAGCGTGATTAACACTGTTTGTCACATAGACATACTGTTTAAATATTTGCCGTTGCTGTCACTAAGTCCCTAAAAAAAGGAAGCACAAACCACTCTCAGCACCCAAAGTAGTAAAGTTCTCAAATATTAATTTTTTTTTTTTAATCTGCGAACACTTCTAATCCTGTGTCTTTTATCACCATTGGTAGCAGCCATTTTTGATCAAGAATTTCAGTAATGCTGGCTATGTGTCAAATACTGCTTTACCTGATTCTGGGTGATGGATGTTTAGAAGCTGGTCAGAGCTGGTTATACACCGGCCAGCCTGCAGGGTGATTGCTGAGCCATCCCTCCAGGGAGGTCTGACTGCCTCCAGCTTTGCAAGTGTTGAGAGTTTAAGCCAAATTTACTTTTCCTTCTTCCCTTCTTTTAACCTGTGGGATCAAATCAGTTCCATTATCTTTACCTTGTCTCCTCATTATTCCTGTTGAAGCTGCTGCTTTTTCTCAGCTAGTAGAAGGAAATATTGTCAATCAGTGATGAACGGCCATCTTCCAAAAGCCAAAATGAAGTCATCTTTTGGATTTTGTTGAGGCACGTTAGTCTCTGTGTCAATCTCAATCTCCACCACCAGCACACACGCCCAGGATGGTGCTAGATGCCTTGTTAGCCCCGACTTTTTCTTACTGTCTAACCCCTCAGCCTGGATGTGGGCTGAGTCAGTTGTGTATGAGCTTCATCGTCTGGGGTCAGGAAGTGTTATTGTATTATTACTGTTCTTGCTGTTGTTGTTGACACTGCTAAGTGTCAAACTTGGACTGTGGCATCAAACCATGGGCACAAGTCCACAAACGCACGCTGTAGTTTGCACCGGGGCAGTGACTGCAGGATCAGACGTGTCAGCCGTGTGGTCTGAAAACTACTCTTAGTATTTCCACATTTCCTTTTATCCTTCATTTTTCTGCCCATACGTTATTCAGAAACCCATCAGCATTAGTTGGATGGAACATCCCGAATTAATCTGAAACTTTATCATCCTGAATAATAAAGTCATGGAAAAAGCAGAGAAGATTCCCACCTGAGAACACCGGTGGCAGTCGGTGTTGGGTCATGGTTAAATCTAGATCAGTCTGCCTGGATCACATCCCAGCTCTGTCACTGTCTACCTGTATGAGTTGACTTGAGTTAGCTGCCTTTTCTGTGCTTCCATTTCCCTATCTATCTAGGCAGTATAGTCCTTATAATTACAGTGTTTATCAGGTACCCACACATGCTAAATGCTCAGTAAATATCACTGTCCTTCTCAAAAATTACCACACTCTCCAATGGCCCCTCTTTTCTGCAGTCACACGTTGTATTCCTCTCATGTATTTAAGAACTTGAAAAAGAGTAGACACATGTATATGTACAACTGAATCACTCGCTGTACACCTGAAACTAACACAACATTGTTAATCAACTAAACTCCAATATAGAATAAAAAATTTTTCAATAAAAATAAAATAAAAAGGTCTTCAGTTTACCATAATTTAGAACTCCATATTCTCATTCAGGATGACAAATCACTTACTACTCCTTTAACCACTTATTAGTAGTGGGATAAGTTAGGGCTGTAGAGTTGAAATTCATATGTCAGCCACACTTTTTATTATTAAAAATGCTGAGAATTTTAGAAGGAACATAACAAAAACAGTAGAACTAAAAGCCATATCGTTTCAAAGATAAACTTCATCACATGTTATTTTGTTACTTATATTCTTCCCAGTATCCACTGTACAGAATATTTTTCCTCTTTATGTTTTGCAGAAAGGTAATTTATAAGGGATTATACTAAACATCACTTTGAAAAAAATGGTTTAATAAAAGAATCTGTGTTCAGGAAAAAAAAAAGGTCTTCAGTTTAAGGGCACATTTTAGAATCTTCTAAACAATCTTAACTATTCCTTATATGTGTTAACCTTTAATGACACAGAATAATGCATTTTTAATGACATAAATCAATAATGTGGGCTAATAGTTTTTAAAGTTTCTTATACTCCATTCTTGCAAACTATGATGTCACTCAATCCATCTGTTAGTTTGAATTCACAGATACAGAAATTTTGCTCAGTGCATTTTCTCTCTGAGGCTCTGGTTAATATTCAGAGCCCAGAACAGCCACAGTCAAGGGTGCTGGAGCTGCTTGGCTCTGGTTGCAGTGAAGAGTGGCTGGTGCCTAATGGACGTGGGCTATAGCTTTTCTTGTCCACATTGGAGGGAAGGGGAGATGATGAGGGCTGGATTCCGTCTTGGGAGCTTCTGCACACTGACCCAGTTACTTACATATTTGAGGAATCTACAGTCCACAAATCTCCCCATGATTCTACTCTTCTGTGTCATCTGAAGGATGCTCAGTCAATATCATGATGGCCAAGCCCTCCTTGGTTCACCTCTTGGTCATATTCACAAGACTTCTGTGAGTATGGGAGGTACGGTGCAGCTCTTAAGCATTTCTAATAGGAATGAGCGAGTTCTTCCACTCACATTTGAGGGAAAAGATCGTTTCTGACCATATGAACCTTCAAAATGCAGCTTTACGGACGTTGGAGAACCATCTGCGTGACCACAGACTCCTCCTTAAACTGCAGTCTCTTTAACCTCCATCCCAGTCATTTTACTGTCATAACTCCAGCTCAGTGAGACATTTCCACTGCATTAGTTACTCAGGGAGACGGGAGTTTTCAGACCCTGAGTTCCCAGCTTTATGGTACCATCTACCGATTCATCACCCTAGTGGCATGTGAGAAGCCGGAAAGAGAGAGCTCATTCTTAATCTCTCTTTTCCTAGAAATCTGACACATCTGAAAAATATGCAGCAAATATTTCAATCAAGTGTGGGAGGGGCATTAGTTAATCTCATCCTGCAGTGCTCACCTCAAATTCTTTAGCGATGGATTCTTTACACTAAGCAGTGGTTTCTCTCCCCTCCTCCATGTGGAATGATTTGTTGATTTGTGTCTCTCCGGTAGGTTCTGAGTCCTCCAGCAGTGCAGGCTCGTCAGGATCGCTGTCGCGTACCCATCCACCTCTCCAGAGCACACCGCTGGTCTCGGGCGTGGCAGCCACTTCTCCCGGCTGTGTGACCTACCCAGAGAATGGGATGGGAGGCCAGGTCGCTCACAGCAGCACCAGCTACATCCTCCTTCCACTCGAAGCTGCCACAGGCATCCCACCCGGAAGCATCCTTCTTAATCCACATACAGGTTCGTTCATTACCTCTGCTTTGGCTGAGACATAATATCAGAGGTTTATTCTTGTGTTTGAGCTTAGAAGTTTGCTAGCAAGTGTTCTGAAAATTCCTGGTGAGTGGATTGTTGTGTAGGGTCTTGATTTAGGAAGAGCAGATCTATAGAGAGCTGGAATCTATATCTCTGTATCGTTATCAATGTTGGTATGTAAATCGAAATACAGCTACTTCCCAGAAATAGCCACTTTTCTCTCTGTCCTCTTCCTTGAGCACGGTGTCTCTCACGTATTCCCAGGAGCTAAGATAAGAAACCACGGAGTGATGAATTGGGATGTACTAATTGAAAATTGATGTTTCTCAGACCAAATCCATGGTTAGCTTGTTGCTGTGTCAAAAGCATTTTTGCATCCAAGATACATCAGGAACTTGAGATCTCAATTGGAGCACATAGCAGATTCTTCACTACAGAAATTGACTTCCCACCTTAGAACTCCATGCAGCTCCCACTGGGAAATAAGGAACAGCAGTGGCAAGAGAATACAGAGGGCAGGTTCTTACGTATTTTAGGGATTTTAGGATTAGACTGGTTTTGGTGGGGTTAGGAAAATCGGTAACTTCACGACTATTGTTTCTTTCATGATGAATGGCCATTTTTTTACTTTTTTTAAATTGAGGTATAGTTTTACAATATTATATAAGTTACAGGTGTACAATATGGTGATTCACACTTTTTAAAGGTTATGCCCCATTTATAGTTATTGTAAGATATTGGCTATATTCCCTGTGTTGTACAGTATATCCTTGTGGTTTGTTTTATACCTAACAGTTTGTACATCTTACGTTTTTTTACTTTTTTAATTTCTCCTGTGGTCAGTTAACTTCCACACTAATTTCAGAGGACCCAGAGCATTGGGCAAATAGACTGATGAACACCTGCTTCATGGGGGAAACTTCTCAACCAGAGGCAGTTTTTCCATGCCTCCAAGGCCATTTGGCAATATCTGCAGATATTTTGATTATCATGACCTAGGGAGGTAGAGACCAGAGATGCTACTAAACATCTTACAATGCACAGAACAGCCCCTGACACAGGAATATTATCCAGCCCAATATGTTAGTCGTGCCAGGGCTGGTAAATCCTAGGTTAGAAGGCTTGAGTTGACAAGTCACTTCTCTAGAAACCTTTGAAAGAGATTGAAAAAAAAATGAATTTTCTCAAAATATATCTGAGGTTTGGTTTAGATTACTTAAAAATGCAACGCTGGATGAGAATCTCATAAAAGTGATCTGGCTCAATCTTCTCACATGTCTAGTGCTACTAATAATTAGGAAATTCAGAGAAGCATGACAGTAAAATAGTTACTTGAATAATTGCCACATTTTCATGAAAACATATGGCACATTCTTAAGGAATGGTGTTTGATTGAGACATTTTGAAAATGCCATAAGTTTGAGGGAGAAGGAGGCATAATCATTTTATTGAAAACCATTTGAAAGCTTTCAGATTAGATACTTCTAAGGAGAATATTAGATATCTGGATCAGTGTAAGCACTATAAAGGAAATCAGAAGAAAACCAGGATCATATTCATTACTCTGGGCACAGATCAAAGTATGATCTGACTCTGTCAGCTTTAATTCTTTCACTTTTAATTGAGATGGAGGGTTTAAATGAGATGGAAGGCTACGAGAGTAGCCACTAAGCACAGTTTTGAGTGGTATGTTTTAACCAAAATTGCAGAGTATTTCGGGAAAGCTCAAAAGAGTATTTTTTAGGGTACAGCGCAGGAATATGATTTGTAATGAAAGCGTGGATGTGTGTGTGTATGTGTATATTATCATCTATAATCTTGTTTATAGAAAAGGAAAGAATGTGCTCTTGGTGCCAAGTCCCAATTACAAATTGGAATGAGTAATTTGGAGCTGTTACTAAAATTTATCCTTTGCAAAAGGATCCTAACTAAAGAAAAGGAT